AGGACTCGCTCCGAAACGCTCCCCAGCACCCCCAGAACGCACAAACCCTGGCGACAGTGACGACGACGGCTGCGGCGGCGGCGGCGACGGCAGCTGCGAAGGCGGCTGCGGCTGCGGCTGGCGGCTGCGATTGCGGCTGGCGACGACAGGGGAGGAGAGACCGGGGCAGGGACAGGCGGGGGAAGGGACTCCGACGGGAGGGGAGTGACGTGAGACACACCAGACGGGGCAGGGCAGGGAGGGGGGGGTACAGGGGCGACCGGGAGAAGGGGGGGGGCTAGGAACTGGGGGGGAGTGACCGGGGGACCACGGTGGGGAAAGCGGTGGTAGAAGGAGACGGACTCGTCAAAGGTGACGTCGCGGGAGTGAAAGAAACGGTGAGACGGCGGATAGTAGACGTGCCAATCAGACGAGTCAAGGGGGAAACCGAGAAAGACACACAAGGGACAGTGCGGGCAGTGAGCTTGTCCGTGCCAGAGGCACGAACGTGAGCAAGGCAGCCCCAAACGTGGAACGTAGACGCCGCACATAAGACCCGGTCCAGAGGAGGGTCGGCGAAACCTGCGGCCGCTGAGGGTGCGGCCACAGGTTGAGCTGGTGGGCGGCGTAGCGAACGGCGAACGGCCACAGAAAATGGGGTGCACCGGCATGGATCAAGGAGGTACTAACCACCTCCATGTCCAAACTGATGCGTTGCTTAGCGATCCCATTCTGTTGCGGGGAGTTCGGCAGGGTGTACGTCTGGGTGATGCCCTCTGCACGACAGAAGCGACCAAGGCAGCCAGAGGCAAACTCGCCACCACGGTCAGAGTGAAGACACAAGACAGGGAGACCTCGATGCGCACGCGCAGAGACAAGCTACGGATAGGAACGCCAGGCACGTCGGCCTCCCGCTCCAGGTGAAACGCGGTGGTGTAGCGAGTGTAGTCGTCGACAAGCACGAGGAAGTAATGCTCACGACGTGGCCCATGGACGGGGGCGGGGCCCCAGACGTCCATGTGCAGGGTCTGTAACGGTGCAGTGGTGGGGGGGCAACGAGGAGGAGTGAGGGGCACGGCGGAGCCGGCCCTCGACGCAGGGGATGCACGGAGGCGCTGCAGAGGAGGGGAGCGCAGGGAACGATGCAGGGAGACCTAAGACAAGACCGTGCTGAGACATATGACGGAGACGGGTAAGAGCGGGGTGACGAAGATGGTGGTGCCACAAAAGCGACGCGTGAGTAAGCGACTGACACAAGCAAGCCACAGCAACCTGGATAGATGCTGCCACCTGGGGGGGCGTCCCAACTGGGGGTGACGCGATGTCCAGCATGAACTGGCCAGACACCGGGTCCCGGGGGAACGTGGTTAATGGGGCTTCAGTGGCAGCCTCGGTACAGACAGCGTACCTCTTGTGACCAGGGAACGTAGTGGTGACGCCGAGGTCCTAAAGACAGCCGACACCAACTAGGTTCTGAGAGAACGAGGCGATGTGCAGGCCTGTAAGAGACCCCAAGGGAACCTCCATACAGGGGAGAGTAGTGGAAATATGGGCTACTACCGGACCTGAGGAAGAGTCTGCAAGGGTAAGTGCGGCAAGGATGGCAAGCGGCGTAAGTGTAGTGTGGTCCCGAAAGAAGCACCGAGACGCGCTCGAGTCGAGAGTGAAGGAGAGCGCGGCAGTGGCGGTTGGGGGCGGTGGAGCTAGTATGGAGCCAAGGCTAGACAAAGCAAAGGATCCTACGCTTGACGCAGCAAGGGAGCCTAAACTAGGCACACTGGAGAGACCTACACTAGGCAACACGGGGTAATAGGAACCAGTCACACTAGAGTCATCAACATACAGCATATACAAAGCAAAACTAATATCATCCAGATCCATATCAAAGATCCTAACACGACGGCGGAGCAGACTGTGCCAGTCAAGGAGGTCCGGCGCAGGGCCAAAGGGAAGATGAAACAGGTCGTCATGGCGACTGAAAAAGCGATTGGGGGTATGACCGGTCTTACCGCACATGAGGCCGCGGCGAGGACCGGTCTGGAGCTAGTACTGGTAGCGGCTGTCACTCGCACCACCACCCGACGCCAAGCTACGCACACGACCACCACGACCACCACCACCACCTCCACCACCTCCACCAGCGCCAGGCCACCCATGCAGGATGCGGCCGACCCTCCGCTGCGACGGTTGCTGCTGCTGCTGCGGCTGCTGCTGCTGGTCAAGCTGTGGTGCCTACTGCTGCTCCCTCCGGGGCAACTGCTCTGAGGCACCAGACCCAACCCCCATCATCTGTACTATCGCCAATGGATGAACCACCTCCACCACCACCTCCACCCCCTCCTCCACTACCCCAGCTACGCCCAGTCTTCGGGCGGCGAGCCTTACCATAACGGGACTGCGCTGCTGCAACCGCGGCAGCGGTCTCAACAGCAGGGGCTTTCTCAGCTATAGCCGCAGAACCGTCAGAGTAAGAGTACTGGGTGGGAGCACAACCCTTAAAGTTAGGGACCGGCGCAGTACCGCTAGGCTGGGCGATAGAGCGCTGAGGGGTCTCTATGGCAGACAGGGTGTCGATAAAGTCGGAGAGGGTGAGGTCAGTGGGGTGCAGACTAAGGAAGTGGTCGCGGGCAGTGGCAAGGCGGTCAGGGAGGCGGGTGGCAAGTAGGTAAGGGTTAGAGTAGATAGGGGGCTGGAACAGATGAAGCTGGGCCTCAATGCAAGTAGCACGCTAGGTTGCGTCGAGCGTGGCCTGGTTAGCGATAGTGATGAAAGACGCGAGATCAGGGAAATGCATGGGAAGGATCAGTCGGCCGAAAGAGGCAGAGGACGGGGTGGAATAACGTGCGACAACAGCCTCTAGAAACTCCTGGGCAGTCCTGACCGACTTAAGGCGGGGGCGCTCTGACAGGGGGAGGGCATCGCTAATTGCGAGCTGAGCGACAGTGTCACGCGATAGTTAGACAGCACGGGCAAGAGCAGCAGCGGCGGCGGACTCACGGTCATTAGACGTGGGGTCAGCGGGGAGAGCAACAGGGGGGTTAGGGCAGGGGAGCGTACCGTCAATGTGGACGGCCAGGGAGTGGCCGTCCTGCCGCTGACCAGTGAGGTGACGGCGGAGATCGACGAGCCAAGAGTCGAACTCAATCGGCTGACCCTCTGCGTCAAAGCGTAGTACCTAGTCCGCCATGAGGGCCGCTGCAGTGCAGTGCCACACGGTGCAGAGCGGTGCAGTGTGGTGCAGTGAGGTGGGGAGCGGTGCAATGCGGTGGGGCGCGATGCAGTGGGATGGGGCGCGGTGCAATGTAGTACAGAACGGTGCTGTGCGGTGCAGTGCTGTACAGTATGGTGCAGTGCAGTAGAGAGGGCAGGTGAAGCGGGTGGGGACCGAGGGGCGGCTGGGCGACGGGACCGCGGAGCAGCTGGGCGACGAGTCGCGGGTCGGCTAGGCAGCAGGGCCGCGGGGCGGCTGGGCGACAGGGCCGCGACGCAGAGGGGCGATGGGCCGCGAGGCGGCTGGCAGACGGGGCCGCGGAGCAGCTGGGAGACGGGGTCGCGGGGCAGCTGGGACGATGGGGCCGCGGGACGGCCGGGCGACTTGGCCGCGGAGCAGCTGGGACGGCGGGGCCGCAGGGGCAGCTGGGACGACGCGGGGCTGCTGGGCGGCTGGGCTACAGGGCCACGGGGCGGCTAGGCGACGAGGGTTGTAGGGTGGCTGGGCTACGGGGCCACGAGGCAGCTGGGCGACGGGGGCCGCGGTGCGGCAGGGCTACGGGGCCACGGGGCGGCTCGGCGACGGGGGCCACGGGGCGGCTGGGCTACGGGGCCACGGGGCGGCTGGACGACGGGGACCGCGGGGCGGCTGGACAATGGGGACCGCGGGGCGGCTGGGCTACGGGGACACGGGGCGGCTAGGCTGCGGGGGCCGCGGGGCGGCTGGGCAACAGGGCCACGGGGCGGCTAGGCAACGGGGGGCTGTGGGGCGGCTGGGCTACGAGGCGACGGGGCGGCTGGGCGCTAGGCGACGGGGCCGCAGGGCCAGTGGGCGGCTAGGACCTAAGGCGGAAGTGCGGGTGGGTGGGTGGGTGGGACCTAACCTACTCATGATACCATCTCAAAGTTAGAACGAATGACTAGAATGAGTGAATACCGGAGTATATAGCAGTGTATATAGCAGTGACTAGTGGGTTGTACTCTCTATGGCAAGCCCCTATGTTGGCTACTAAACATACACAAATATATTTGACCGAATCATCCGAGGGGTCACGCTAATCTCAGTCACACGAACAGTCACTCGTCATAACACGCGAATAGTCGCGATACAATACGAACAAGTACATACCGAAAAGGTATTTGTATTACTTTTTAGAATTATCCTTGTCATTACGAGCATTTCCAATACAAGGTGTAAAGTCTTCCGCTGACTTATTACTCTTTGTTCCACCAAATCTAGATCCTGGCCACCCTAAACACGTGGTCCACTTCAACAGGATCCTCCGAAGCAAACCTTTTGTAGAAACTTATAACTTGAATCCAACTAAACTGACTAGCATATGTGTGGCTGTTCCAATTGATTGTGTAATAACCAGCCACATGCATAGGTGGTCTGGTACGAAGGTAGAATTAATAATCCCATATAGCATAGATTTGGTAAATGAACGAGATTAGATGGACCCGAAGTTATCAAATTAGGGAGATGGTTCTTCATATCTACTCTCTGTACATATGTTAAGAAATGCCACAGGAGTTGCCCAGGGTGGAACCTTGCACTGGGGACATCTCAGCAATCTTGACCGTTCATTCTGCCCGAGATTCGCTTCCTGGTGACTCAGAGAGTGTGGGAGCCGCCAACTCAACGGCTTGCACGCTCACAGTTGCTTCTTGGTCGTCCGATCTGCGCGGGCACTTTTCGTGCGGCGCTGTTCTTGTAACGAGCGAGGTTTTTGCTCCACGTTTGTTGGGCGTCGAGGGGGGTTGGGGAAGGTGTGGCACAGCCACCTCGAGAGCTCACTGTCCCCTCTCACTTCATACATTTGAGGCTGGACCTCCTCGTTTATCTCAGCTTTTGCTGAAGTTTTCTGTCTGCCAGCACTGTGGTTCGCCCAGCTCCCCGACTTCGTCACTTTTTGGTACGATCTACTCCCGATCTCATGCTTAGCTCTCTCTGCTCCCTGGCCTTCTTGCGTCACTGCTTCTTCCTGCGGATCGCCTGCCATTTTTTTATGTACGCCATGCCGAGATCTAACCACGAAGACGTTGGATCTCGTTTGTAGAGTCTTCGTTTATGTATACCGCCGATCATGCTGCTAACTGGAACCGATCATTGCTGGATCGAGAGCTCATCGGCCTCATGTTTACTCTCGTGTGTGCAGGGCGTGACTGTCCCAGTGCTGCTCCCCGTGGGGTTGCAGATATGGAATCTTCGAGGCAGCAGCAAGGCCGGGCCTTCTCCCCGGCTTTCCGCCATGTGGCCGCCAATTCCTTTTTGGCGTCACGTCTCGCCCCGTCTCAGTGCGGGGGTTACGCCAGGGATCGCTCCTTGGCCAGCGGCGCCGGCGTGCCCGCCACCTCCCGTTATTCTAACCCGGCCTTCAGCATGAGCCTCGCTGGTGCTGGATCTACTCCCGTTTTCGTCCCTGCTGCCGCTGAGAAGGGCAAGAAGGGAGTGAGCGGCTTCATGATCGACTTTCTCATGGGTGGCGTGTCGGCAGCTGTGTCCAAGACCGCTGCTGCTCCCATTGAGCGTATCAAGCTCCTGATCCAGAATCAAGACGAGATGATCAAGGCTGGCCGTCTCGCGGAGCCATACAAGGGTATTGGCGACTGCTTTAGCCGGACGATGAAGGACGAGGGCGTCGTCGCGTTGTGGCGTGGTAACACCGCCAATGTGCTCCGATATTTCCCCACTCAGGTGCGTAATATAAATATTTACAGGTAAATGGTTGAGATCGAGGAGATCCATCCGATCTGCGGCAGAATTGTTCGGATGTGTCAGATCTTGTGTTTTCCCCAACGGAACCTTTTTTGCAAAGCGAACTACGCGATCTCCGAAATGAGCTGCATTCTCCAATCTGTACTCCGTATTTTCTGCTCACAGGCCCTGAACTTTGCCTTCAAGGATTACTTCAAGAGCCTGTTCGGTTACAAGAAGGATAAGGACGGCTACTGGAAGTGGTTCGCTGGTAACCTGGCCTCCGGTGGTGCCGCTGGTGCAGCGTCCCTCACCTTCGTGTATTCCCTAGACTACGCCCGAACACGGCTGGCGAACGACTCCAAGTCCGCGAAGAAGGGTGGCGGCGACAGGCAGTTCAATGGCCTGGTCGACGTGTATCGCAAGACCATCAAGTCTGACGGTATTGCCGGTCTGTACCGCGGGTTCTCCATCTCGTGCGTTGGCATCATCGTGTACCGTGGTCTTTACTTCGGCATGTACGACTCGTTGAAGCCCGTGCTTCTTGTCGGCCCGCTCGAGGTACGTATTGAACCGATCGGAGCGTCATGATCAAGGAAGCAAATGCGCATGGGCGTTTACGGTAAACTGGAACCACTCGCGAGTTACAGCATTAACATCTGTCTGGTTCTTTTGTGCAGGGCAACTTCCTTGCCTCCTTCCTCCTTGGTTGGGGTATTACCATCGGTGCTGGCCTTGCGTCGTACCCCATTGACACTGTGCGACGTCGCATGATGATGACGTCTGGCGAGGCTGTCAAGTACAAGAGTTCGATGGACGCCTTCATGCAGATCGTGCAGAAGGAAGGCACCAAGTCCCTCTTCAAGGGTGCTGGCGCTAACATTCTGCGTGCTGTGGCTGGTGCTGGTGTGCTGTCTGGCTATGATCAGCTCCAGCTCATTCTCTTCGGCAAGGCTTACAGCGGTGGCGGCGGCTAAGAACTTGTGGTTTTGTGGTTTCTTCGTGATGTTCCAGCCTTGTATTGGTACTAGTATCAGAAATTCAAGTGATGGGTGATAGAGAGACAGTACACACAATATAGCTAAGTGTTGTACCCTCTAAGAGGCTACCCTATACAGTCTAAACAAACATAACAAATAGACATGTTTGACACACCCCCTAGACTGCATAGGGGAAAGTCCTAAACAAACAGCTCAGGGCGGCACTACTAGTCCAACCTCTGAGACAAGGGTCTGAGTGACCAGTCAGAAGGAGTACAGACAAGGCAAGCACAAGTGCAGTGCGGGACTACTAGTCCAACCACTGGGAGAGGACACAAGTCCAGTCTGAGTATACATATAAAGGACAGTACAAAGTCAAGGTCCTAGCAAGTGAGAGGCTACAGGAACTAGACCAAGCTGTACGCAGTGCCTCTGATGATCTTTAGGCGCAAGTGCCTTCGTAAAGATATCAGCCGTGTTGGCACCTGAGGCCAAGTGCACTACGCGAGCCTGACGTCGCTGCTGTAGCTCACGCAGGAGGAAGTACCGTAGCTGAATGTGCTTCGCTCTGCCCTCGATTCGAGGCTCCTGGCACAGGAGGATCATGGCCCTGTTGTCAGCGAACAGGACCGGGGCAGAGCTAGGCCGCTCACCTAAGTCAGTGAGCAAGAAGGTCAGCCAGCGGAGCTCCTGTGCCGCCATGGCACCGGCGTAGATCTCAGCCTCACAGCTGGACTGTGCAACAGACGAGGAGCGAGTAGCTCTCCACGAGACGGCACCTGAGCCAAGGCTGAAGCAGTAGCCCTGGGTAGACCTGAGTGTCTCAGCGTCGTCTGCCCACGAAGCGTCTGTGTGCCCAGTGAGGACCACTGGCCTGCGTCCGCCTAGCACTAACCCCATGCCCGATGTACTAGCAAGATAACGCAGAACCCTCTTAGCGGCAGACCAGTGCTGCGGTCGGTGTCTGCCTGTGGCCACAAAGCGAGCCAGGATGCTGAGAGGGTATGCGGGATCTGGGCGAGTGCAAGTCATCAGGTACATGAGGCAACCCACCAGCTCTGCGTAGGGGCCGCTGGGCTCTACCAATTCCTCAGGCACTGAAGCGGAGAGCCTGTGGTCTACTGGCAGAGGGGTGGGCTGTGCAGAGGAGAACTGAAGGCTGAACCTCTGAAGGACCTGGCGCACCAAGTGTGACTGAGTCAGGGTGATGGTGCGCGCAGCTCTGTCCCTGGAGATCTGCAAGCCAAGGTAACGGCGCAGTTCTCCAAGGTCAGTGCAGGTGTGTCTCTTCAGCAGCTCTGCCTTCACGGAGGCCAGCGCGTCCCTGTCTGCTGTGGCAAAGACCAGGTCGTCGACGTAAACGAGGATGTAGAACGGAGTCTGGCCAGCACGAACGAAGAGTGAAGGGTCTGCAGAAGACGGAAGGAACTGCAGGTCAGCAAGCGTAGCACGGAGAGTGTCGTGCCACTCACGGGGAGCCTGGCGCAAGCCGTAGACGGGGCGCCGCAGGAGCCACTGGGTCCCAGGAGGGAAGGTGCCAGTAAAGCCCTGAGGACGGCGCAAGTAGACCTGCTCGTGTAGGCTGCCCTGAAGGAAGGCAGTGGAGAAGTCGAGGGAGTGAAGCTCGTAGTCACGCTGAGCAGCTAGGTGTAACAGAACCCGAAGAGTAGTCATCTTCGGGGTCGGAGCGAAAGTCTGGAAGAAGTCCACCCCCTCGCGCTGACTGAAGCCTCTAGCCACATAGCGCGCCTTGAAGACAGGCGGCTCTCCAGGAGGGCGCTTCACCTTGAAGAGCCAGCGGCCATCGACTACGTTCACCCCAGGCGGGGGAACTGCGTCGACGAAGGTGCCGGTGGATCTCCAAGATGCCATCTCCTGCTCCATGGCAGCTATCCACTGCGAGGCCCAGGGTCCCGAAGTCGCCTCAGCGTAAGTGCGAGGGGTCGGGATGTCGAAAGCGTCTGGGTCACCCTCAGGGACTAGCAGCATGGAACAGAGATGGGGAGCAGCCTCGGACAGGAAAGCAAGCTCGAACTGGCGGTCCTCCAGGACGTCACTGCCAAGGGTAGGAGCACCCCCGACAGACTGAGGACAGGCAGGGTCAGAGACCAGAGCGGTGGCGTAGTCAAGGCGGCGGGTAGAGGCGAAGTCAGCGACAGCAGCGACAAGAGCGTCAAGGCACGAAACCGGAACAGACGGGTCGGTAACGAGAGAGGCAAGGACCCGAGGAACGAGAGGACGAGCGGCACGAAGGTAGTCGGACAGCGGGGGGGGGCGCAACAAGAAGGGAGGACGGAGGAGGCGACGGCAGAAGGGGAGGACGAGACGCGTGGGAACGAAGCAACATAGGGTGGGAGCGCAAGACAGGCGAGGCAGGACGAGCACGGGAGGGACGGTGAGACCAGACGTGGGACGGAGGAGTCGGGTCAGGAGACAGGGGAGGGGACACAGGAGGGGAACGAGGGGGGAGACGAGCCGGGGACGAGTCCGGCGGAGGGAAAACAGGGCCGTAGACAGGAAGAGGAGGAGACGGTCGGGGAGGAACCAACGCAGGGTCGGGGGACGGAAGGCCGAGCAGGCGAAGGGCGAACACCGGTGGGGACTGCTGCTGCGGCGGCACAGCGGCGACACCTGGACCGCAAGCTGCTCCTCGGCTACCACCGGCACTCTCCACACCCGCACCCCCAGAGGGACCACCCTCAGGGCAACCGGGACGAGCACCCCCAGAGTCAGCGAACGGGGGGTGCGACGGCGGCGGCGGCGGCGACGGCGACGGCTGCAGCGGCGGCAGGGGCGGCGGAGGAGGGGACTGGGGAGGGGACACCTGGGGAGGGGCGGCCGGCGAGGACTGCACCGGAGGGCCACCAGAGTCAGAAGACTCCTCAACCGGGTCCACGGACGGAAGGGGGGTGACGTGGGAGACACCAGAGGGGGCGGGACGGGGAGGAGGAGGAGGAGGGGCAGGGACTACCGGGGAAGGGGTGACCAGGAACAGGGGGGGGGTAACCGGGGGACCACGGTGGGGGAAGCGGCGGTAGTAGGAGACGGACTCGTCAAAGGTGACGTCACGAGAGTGAAAGAAGCGGTGAAACGGCGGGTGGTAAAAGTGCCAGTCGGACGCGTCAAGGGGAAAGCCGAGGAAGACGCAGGGAAGGGTGCGGGCAGTGAGCTTGTCCGTGCCGGAGGCACGGACGTGAGCAAGGCAGCCCCAGACGTGGAACGCAGACGCGTCACCAGGAGACCCAGTCCACAGACGGGTCGGCGAAACCTGCGGCTGCTGAGGGTGCGGCCACAAGTTAAGCTGGTGAGAAGCGTAGCGCACAGCGAACGGCCACAGAAAATGGGGTGCACCGGCATGGACCATGGAGGTGCGAGCGACCTCCATGACCAAACCGATGCGTCGCTCAGCGACCCCATTCTGCTGTGGGGAGTCCGGTAGGGTGAACGTCTGGGTGATGCCCTCCGCACGACAAAAGCGACCAAGGACACCTGAGGCAAACTCGCCACCACGGTCTGAGTGAAGACGCAAGACAGGTAGACCGCGGTGGACACGCGCAGAGACAAGCCAGGGGATGAGGGCGCCAGGCACGTCGGCCTTGCGCTCCAGGGGAAAGACTGTGGTGTAACGAGTGAAGTCGTCGACAAGCACAAGGAAGTAGCGCTCGCGACGCGGCCCAGGGACGGGGGCAGGGCCCCAGACGTCCAGGTGCAGGGTCTGCAGCGGCGCGGCGGTAGGGGGGAACGAGGAGGAGTGAGGGGCACGGCGAAGCCGACCCTCGACACAAGGCGTGCAAGGTGGAGCTGGGGAGGAGGGAAACGCGGGGAGGGAACCTGGGAGACCAAGGACAAGACCGTGCTGGGACATGTGACGCAGACGCGGGAGCGCAGGGTGACCTAGGCGGTGGTGCCACAGGAGGGTCGGGTGAGTGAGGGAGCGACAGGAGCAGGCATCAGCAACCTGGGTAGACACAGCCACCTGAGGGGGCGCTCCAGCCGGGGGGGGCACGGTGTCCAGAGTGAACGGGCCGGACATCGGGTCCCGGGGGAACGTGGACAGGGGGGCACCAGTGGCGGCCTCGGTACAGACAGCATACCGCGCGTGACCAGGGAACGTAGTGGTGACGCCAAGGTCCTGGAGGCAGCCGACACCAACTAGGTTCCTGGAGAACGAGGGGATATGCAGACCTGTAAGAGAGCCCGAAGGAACCGCCGGACAGGGAAGGGTGGTGGAACTGCGGGCGACTACCGGACCGCCGGAGGGGTCAGCAAGAGAAACGGCAGCAGGAACAGGAAGTGGCGTCAGGGTGGTGGAGTCGCGGAAGAAACACCGAGAGGCGCCAGAGTCCAAGGTGAAGGAAAGCGAAGCCGAGGGGTCTGGCGACGGAACGACGGTAGAAGCACCAAGACTCCACAAAGCAGGGGATCCTACGCCTGACGCAGCAGGGGAGGCTAAGCTAGGCACACCTACACTAGGCAACAGTGAGTAATAAGCCGGAAGCACACTAGAGTCATCAGCATACATCACATGCAGAGCAGAAACAATGGCATCCATGTCCATATCAAAGATCTGAATCTGACGACTAAGCAAACTGTGCCAGTCCGGGAGGTCTGGCGACGGGCCGAAGCGCTGACGAAAGAGGTCGTCCAGGCGACGAAAACAGCGGGGAGTGGAGTGACCGATCTTACCGCAAACGAAGCCGCGGCGAGGACCGGTCTGGATCTGGTACTGACAACGCCCGCCGGCAGAGCCACCACGCGGCACACCACCACGCGCCCGTCCACCGCCAGCGCCGGGCCACCCTGGCGGGAGAACACTCGTCTGCCGCGTCTGCGACGGCTGCTGCGGCTGCTGCGGCTGCAGGGGCGGCGACTCAGCTGGACTGGGCAGGGTCCCCTCGTCCGCTCCAGCACCAGGCGACCCGACCCCACCACTACCCCCGCCCGCACCCCCGCCGCCCCCTCCGCCGCGCCCAGCCTTGGGGCGGCGACCCTTCCCAGAACGGGACTGCGCTGCAGCAGCAGACTCAGCCACTGCGGCAGAGCCGTCGGAGAAGGTGCACTGAGCGGGGGCACAACCCTGAAAGATAGGGACCGGCACGACACCGCTCGCCTGGGCGATGGAGCGGTGACGGGTCTCTATCACAGTCAGGGTGTCGACAAAGTCAGTGAGGGTGAGGTCTGCGGGGTGAACACTAAGGAAGCGGTCGCGGGCGACAGCAAGGCGGTCAGGGAGGCGGGTGGCAAGCAGATAGAGGGTAGAGGTAATGGGCGGCTGGTGGGCTCTAAGCTGTGCGTCAGTGCAGGCGGCGCGCCAGGTCTCCTCTATCGAGCGCAGGTGGGCAGCGAGGTCAGAGACAGTGGGGAAAGAAGCAAGGTCAGGAAAGAGCAGCGGGAGGATCAGGCGACCCACCGAGGCAGCCGGAGGGGTTGAATAGCGCTTGATGACAGCATCTAAGTATGCCTGAGCAGTAGTGAGGGACCTAAAGCGAGGACGCTCGGACGGGGGGAGGGCGTTGCTAATGGCAAGCTAGGCGACAGCATCGCGAGAAAGCCAGACAGAGCGCGCACGGGCAGTGGCAGCAGTAGACTCACGCTCAGTGGGTGTGGGGTCAGCGGGCAGAATAGCAGGAGGGTCTGGGCAGGGGAGCGTACCGTCAAGGTGTGCGGAAAGCGGTTCACCATCCTGCCGCTGGCCAGTGAGTTGGCGGCGGAGGTCGGCAAGCCACGCCTCGAACTCTAGGGGCTGACCTTCAGCGTCGAAGCGAAGCTCCGCCGCCATTAGGAACAGTCCAGTGCGGTGCAGGGCGGTGCAGTGCAGTGCAGTGCGGTACAGTGCGGTACAGTGCGGTGCAGCGCGGTACAGTGCGGTGCAGGGCGGTGCAGTGCGGTACAGTGCGGTGTAAGGCAGTACAGGGTGGTGCGTGGCGGTACGGTGCAGGGCTGTGCTGGGCGGGGTGGGGGGGAACCGTACCAGTGAGGAGGACGGGGCCGGGGCAGCGGGGCTGTGCAGGTGCGACCGGGCCGGGCGAGGACGACGGGGCCGGGCGGGCGCGACAAGGCCGGGCTGGAGCGACAGGGCCGGGCCGGGGCGACGGGGCCGGGCGAGCGCGACAGGGCCGGGCAGGGGCGACTAGGCCAGGCGGGGGCGACAGGGCCGGGCCGGTGCGACGGGGCCGGGCGGGCGCGACGGGGCCGGGCTGATGCGACGGGGCCGGGCGGCTGCGACGGGGCCGGGCGAGCAGGACGGGGCCGGGCTTGGGCGACGGGGCCGGGCTGGTGCGACAGGACCGGGCGGGCGCGGCGGGGGGCCCAAGAGGGGCGCTGCAGGGGCCCAGGAGGGGGCGCGACAGGTCCCAGGAGGGGCGCTACGGGGCCCAGGAGGGGGCACGACGGGGCCTGGGAGGGGCGCGACGGGGCCTGGGAGGGGCGCGACGGGGCCCAGGAGGGGCGCTACGGGGCCCAGGAGGGGCGCGACGGGTCCCAGGAGGGGCGCTACGGGGCCCAGGAGGGGCGCGACGGGTCCCAGGAGGGGCGCGACGGGTCCCAGGAGGGGCGCTACGGGGCCTGTGAGGGGCGCGACGGGGCCCAGGAGGGGCGCTACGGGGCCCAGGAGGGGTGCGACGGGTCCCAGGAGGGGCGCTACGGGGCCTGGGAGGGGCGCGACGGGACCCAGGAGGGGCGCTACGGGGCCTGGGAGGGGCGCGACGGGACCCAGGAGGGGCGCGACAGGGTCTGGGAGGGGCGCGACAGAGCCCAGGAGGGGCGCTACAGGGCCCAGAATGGGCGCGACGAGGCCCAGGAGGGGCGCTACGGGGCCCAGGAGTGGCGCTACGGGGCCCAGGAGGGGCGCGACGGGGCCTGGGAGGGGCGCGACGGGGCCTGGGAAGGGGCCCGACGGTGCCCAGGAAGGAGCGCGACGGGGCCCAGGGAGGGGCGCGACGGGTCTAGAGGGGGTCGCGACGGGGCTAGGGGGGCGAGCGGAAGCTGTAGGTGGGGGGGGAGGGATCCTACCTACGCGTGATACCATATCAGAAATTCAAGTGATGGGTGATAGAGAGAGAGTACATTCAATATAGCTAAGTGTTGTACCCTCTAAGAGGCTACCCTATACAGTCTATACAAATATAACAAATAGACATGTTTGACAACTAGTTGCAGTGAAATCTTTCCATGGCCATTTTACCATACTGATAATCCCAGAATTGGAAGGTTATTCGGGGACTCGGGAAAGAAAATGTAAGCGACCGACATTATTCTTCCTACAGCCTGAATGTTCTGGAAATGTCTTAACCAGAAAAATAATTTTGGGTCAGTCTGGTGTTAGTTTTCTGCCGTGTGCACATTATGTTTTGTGAAATCACAAGCAATTAAGAGTATGTGTAGTCGTAATAGCAAGCAATTAAGTAAAAGCAAAATCCTTCTGAATCGCAGAGCATCTCATCCGACTGTAATCAAACGTACGCCAGGGACACGCGCTAGAGCGCATCCGATTACGGTTCCAAATTGCTAACACAGTACGTTAGAAAGTTGCACTTTCGTGACTCGTCACTCAGAGGTGTCCTTCAAGTTCAGAGTGGTTGGAATTCTGGAACATCAAGTGCGGAGCGTTTTTCGTCCGTCCATTGTTTGCAGATTTCCATCTGACGGCGCGCATTCCAAGCTCTTCCTTCAGCCATTCGGAATGGAATCTCACCCGTGAAACGGCGTTTTTGTTAATCTGACGGCGTTTTGCTCTTGGCAACTCTAGGCAAAAGAGTTCATTGCTGGAGGAGTCCAATAAAATACGGTTGACTAGGGTATTTAGAGACACTCATTGCTGGAAGAACAAGTATACCCCCCCATGTATCCAGGACACAAGGGTGATTATCTGTCAACAATTCAGGAAACAGTGGGAAATGTGTGGTGTCGAGGCTATCCTGCCACCCTGACCAGCCTAAGGCAACATTTGTCGCCATCCTCCAACAAGCAGTACAAAGGGTGCCCGACTTTAGAACACCTTGTTCACGAGTCGTGATGGATAAATGTGGATGGAATTACTGTTCGGGGGGGAGCAATTTGGGACAAAATCGGGCTAGGCATTTTGCGGACATCATCTGTACAGCACAGTTCGTGGTCCCATGCTTTGGGTCGAAGGACAAGGGTGGAGCTGGGGAATGTAACTATTTGAGTGTAAAGAATGGAGTGTAAATTGTCCTTTCTTATCGGTCTGTGTAGGGTAGGCGAATCCGCGTACCCCACCAAATTTTACCGAAACTGATCCGATGGTTGAGCTCCACCTTGAGAAATGCTTGTGCAGCACATTTCAAAGCAAAGCACAGAGCAATATCTAGCATACGAAGTACAGTTACCACACAGTCGCATGTTGAAAGTGGGAACAGAAAGAGGTTGGGGAGAAGAGGGGGAAAGAGAGAAACGAGACGCCGGGGAGAGGGGACGGGGGGCGAGGGGGAGGAACAAGAGGGACATGCCTGCGGGCAGAGAAAACAAGGCTGCCCTAGTCGGGGGGACATGGGAATGTCGGGTCGGGCCAAGTTCCCTTGTGAATGCAGAACAGCTGTGCGATTTTGGGGGAACATCACTGCTGCGAACGGTTGCGTTTGTCGTTTGTGGTTGAGATTCCATCCTACTACACCAATCTTTCGCTATTTTGTCCAAGCTGGAGGTTTCTGGCCCTTGATTGCCTCACACAAGCAATATAAGGAAGGACCCGTTCTTGCGTCGTGTCATGTCGAATAACATTTGCCAGTGAGCTAGGCTCGGCCGAACCTAGCTCACGAGCAAATTTTCTGCGATACTGGCGGATGACACGACAAAGGAACCGCCCTAATGGTTTCTGCTTTCCTATGGACAATTTTGTATGCCTCGTTCAAATGGATGTCGAGTGGACTTTAGTACATTTGTGCGTTTATGTGCTCTTTCTAACTCTTTAGCAGCTTTGTGCAATGCTGGTGCTTTGTGATGGGTTACACAAGCATTTCTCACACTGTACATCATCCATGAAGTGTTCCTCCGAGGCCTCACGTTTGCAGCCTCAGATGCAATATCTTCTTCGCCTGGGCAGCCTTCTCCATTCTCGCCGGCTTGATCTGGTTTGGAGGCCAAGGGTTTTGTTTGGTGATCAAATGTAGGGCGACCTTGTCAACATTGAAGCGTTTTCCAAGAAAGAAAAATAACAATCTTGGAGAGAATAGGGTTAGTTCCAGGGCCTCCTTTGAGTCGCCACTGTAACCCGTTCTAAGCGCGGGTTCGCTCCCTCCATTGAACGCCAGGGAGGCCCAGCAGACACAATACAGGGCCACCGCCTAGCCTAAGTTATCATTGAGACTCCACGAAAATTTACTCAGCCAAATTCCTGGGAAGCTTTCAATTCCTACCTCATACATTCAGGGTAATACTTCTCCAAAGTTCTTAAATTAATGATAATCATTGCGTTACCCGATATCTGTCCTGGTGCATCTAAAAAAACAAGCAACAGCCCAACAACCGCTTCGCACCACATCGTTTGGGTTCTCCCGTCCTCCCATCCTTCCCGTCCACGCCCAATCGGCTACAATATGTGAGGGGCGATACGAGATCAGGCGGAGAGATGCTTCGCGCCGAGAATGGAGGAGAGAGTGGAGGGCCAAAACGAGAAACCTCGTCCCTGTCGACTCCACGCACTCACTCACAGCACCCACTGAAGGAGGAGGAGGAGGAGGAGGAGGGATGGTGAGGGATTTGGCCCTTTTCATCTCAGCAAACCCCTCGGCGATGGACGGACGGACCCCTTCGACAGGCCTCACACACTGCAGCTGCTGTACTGAACTGAATGAGGAGGATGAGGAGGATGGTGAGGGATTTGGCCCACCAGCCACTGTTGCCCAGCAGCCCACACTGGAAGACCTTGGAACTTTTTTGTGCACTGCTGCACAGGGCACTGTATTTGCTGTCGTTGACCCCCTGTGAGAAACCGTGTTTATGTCAGGTTGCGCGCTCGATAGAGCAGTGACCTCACCGCACACCACCACTACACATCCACCTGACTTGACCTGTGCCATAGCTTGCTTCACGCACCACCACACACGTCCTTCAGTGCCCCTGCTTGGCTCCAATGCCCCCGGGGCCACCATCCTTGGATTCGCCGAAGCGATTACGATACTCCGAGACGAGCACGAGACCAGTCACAAGCTCACTGCAGGGCAAGCCTGCGTCTATCCTGCAGCCGCTCTGGTACTGTACTACTGTACTACTCTACGCATGCTCAGTGCTCATCTGCTGGCGTGTATACAGCTAGACGTGCAGCCTGCTGCCTCTGCCCAATTCCAAGGCACTCTCTATCTCCCTCATAAGTCTTGCATTTCCCCCGGCGGTTTATCCTCAAATCCTTTCGCCGACACGCGGGTTTTTCTGACGGCAGCCGACAGTTCGAGGCTCGGCCCCGAAGTGACTCATTCTGCTGCTCGTTGTCTGTTTCCCAGCCCTATTTCTCACGTGGCACATGGCACGCCTGCTTACCCTGCTTAGCCGGCTTTCGTAGCATGCGTGCTTTCGCAGAGTGCCTGCTCTCGGAAATCCCGGAGTAGACATACCCTATGTACCTTCCTAAATCCTCCAGTCTAGTCCTACCGAAATAAAGCCCAGCGCGGGCAATCCCAGCCGACCCACCCGCCATGTCAGCGGGCCACGCGGCGGCGAGCGGCGGTGGGGGATCATTGCTTCTGGAAGACGGAGCGGGCCTTTTTTTCCTAGACGACCCACCTTTCTCCTTCCCAGGGGGGGCGGCCCCCTCGTGGTCCCCCGCAGATGCCGCTGTGCCGCTACCAGACCACGCCCCTGCGCTGCCGCCGCCCGCCGCTGCGGACAGCCGGCTTGCACACAGTCGCGATATAGACAGTCGCGTTGTAGGTAGTTGTCTCGCGGGGGAGTCAGGGCTCGGGGACGGGGAGATGCTAGGCGGGATCGTCGCGGCGGGCGACGGCGGGGAGGGCGGGCAGGCACGCGTCGCAGCAGGGGAGTCAAGCGACGACGGCGACGGGGATGCGTGCATGTGGGGGATCGGCGACGGAGGTATAGGTGCTGGCACGGGGTTTGACGCGGTTGAAAACGGTATCGACGCGGGGATGAATGACGCGAGAGGCGGAGAAGATGCGCGAGACCTAGACGACTTAGCTGCTGAGATAGACGGCTCCAGGGGCGGCGGCGGCGGCGGCGGCGGCGGCGGACGAGGAGGAGAAGGGGGAGGGGAGGGGGGAGGGAGTGGAGTGTGCGGCATGTACATGCAGTGCGGCGACGACGACGACGAATTGGACGAGGCCGGACTGGTGGAGGGCGGACTCATTCTCGCTGACGTCAGCGGCCACGACGCGCCGGTGTTCTTAAGCGACCATCGCGACCGTGCGACGTGTGCGACGCGTGCTGCCGCCGACGCAGACGAAGCAGCGGCAGCGGGGGCGGCGGCGGCGCGTGGTTTTGCCGGGCCCATCGCTGCCACTAGCGATTCTCGTGATACTGCCGCGGAAACCCTAACACGTGGATCTTCAGCCGTCGATTCTGCATCTGACGATCCACGCCCGTCGGATAACGTGGCTGCAGCAGCAGCAGCGGATGACGCCGCGGCGGGAAACGCGGCGGCTAGACACGAACGCGCACCTGGAAACACAATGCCTATGGACACTAGCAGCGATTATAGACAGCAGTCCGGGTCGCGTGGGGGAAATACCAACACCAGTACCAGGACGGGCGCGGGACAGGAGGCGTGCGGAAGGATCCCCCCGCCTGTGCCTGCGCCTGCGCCTGCATCCGCAGCAGCCGCAGCAGCGGAGGGGGCTCCTAGTGCCGCCCGCGGCCCCGCGCTCGTTGCTGCGGGGGCTTCTGGCGGAACGCAGGCCGGTGCGGAAGGGGCGGTCTGTCGGCCCACCGACGCGTTCCCTAGCACCGCCGCCCCCCCCGTGAGCTGCACCAGCAGCGCGGGTGGCGGAGGCAGCAGCGGGGGCGAGGGGCTCGGCGGCGTCGGCGGGTGCAGCGGCGGTGGCGACGGTGGCGGTGGCGACGGTGGCGGTGGCGACGGCGGCGGTGGTGACGGCGGCGCTAGTTTCGGCGGGAGCGCGCGGGATCAGGAGTTATGGGGGGGGCACGCGGAGGGGAATGCGGAGGGGCCGGACGAGGAGCTCCTGCGGCTGCTGGACCAGCAGCAGTGGAGCTTCCTGCAACAACCGGTCGAGGCCGACTCGCTCCCTCCTGCCGGCGGGGCGCTCACTGGCGACAGCTTGGCCGCTGCTGCTGGTGCTGGTGCTGCTGGTGGTTACCATGATCCTAGTCGTCGTCGTGATGCGCCGCCGCATGACGTGTCCATGTCGCACGCGTCGCGCGGGTCGCACGCGTCGCAGGGGTCGCTTATGTCGCACGAATCGCATGGCCTCGCCTCTGGCGGTGGCGTTTCCCCGCGGAAGTCCTCCGCGCGCTTGCCCCCCCCCTCCCCCAGCATTCACTCCGCCGCGGCTGCAGCCGCGCAGGCGCCGGTTCCCCTGCCTAGCGCCGCCGCGGGTGCCGCCTCCGCGGCTGTGCGCCACGCGCGGGGGGGGGGGGCGTGGAGTGCGCCACAGGGCAGCACTGAGAGCGCCATGGTGAGTGGCGGAGGGTCCATGGGGTCCGGGGGAGCAGTAGTAGGGGCGTGCGGGGAAGAGCCGCAGGTGGAGGAGCAATGGGAGCAGCAGCTGCAACAACTGTTACAGCAGCGGCAGCAGCAGCAGCAGCAGCAGCAGCAGCAGATGGGAATAAAGCCCATACCGGCGCCGTTGGTTGGAATCGGAACAAGGGCGCGGATCCAGGGGGGAGGGAGAAGAGCTGACGTGGCAGCAAGCGCAGCAGCAGGGATACCATCACCATCACCACCAGCAGCAGCGGCGGCGGCGAGTGAGGCGCCTATGGCGGTACCTGTAGTAACAGCCTCCGATATCTGCTCTGGGAATGCGGCAGTGGCAATGGCGTCCGCTGCAGAAGCCATCGCGGCAGGCATCGGAGCAGCAGGAGGAGGAGGGGGGGAACCCGGCGATACCAGTGGCGGCAGCAGCAGCAGAAGAAGAATGGTGGGAGCGGCTGCTGCTGACAGGCTGACACCTGGCCGCCACACGCGGCACGCCAGCTGGCAGCTGGGCGGGGCGGGCTCGCTTGTCTCCACTCTCGTGCTCACGCCTCAGGGCGTGGCTCTGGGCGGCGGCGGGGGCGGCGGGGGAGAAGGGATGGGAGGGCAGGGCGCTGCTTTTAGCAGTGGTGGGAGGGGCAACCGGGCCAGTGTTTCTGCTGTGGGTGGCATGGGTGTTTCTCGGGGGGGGGCTGCTCGAGCGTCGGAATCAGCAGGTGGTGCTGGCATAATGTCCGCCTTTGGCGCTTCAGCAGCAGCGGGAGGAGGAGGAGGGGGAACGGGTGGAGCAGCAGTGATACTGCAAGTTGCACCAGGTGACATGGGTTGGAGGCAGCGGGACAGCCGGATTCTGAGGAAGCGATGTGCCACGTGGACGGGAGGGGAGACGTCGGATGGTCCCAGCGTGGGAATGATGGGCGGTGGGGATGCGTTCTATGGGCTTGCTGGGGTTGCTGCTGCAGGGGGTGGTGGTGGTGGGATTGGTGGTGCGGGTGGGGGTGGGGGTGGTGGTGGGGGTGGGGGTGGGGGTGGGGGTGGGGGTGGGGGTGGGGGTGGGGGTGGGGTGGGGGTGGGGGTGGGGGTGGGGGTGGGGGTGGGGGTGGGGTTGGGTTTGGGGATGGGGGTGGTGTTGCGAGGCCTGGGATAGATGGCCGGAGGTCATGGGCTTCTGAAGGGCGGGGGACGGTGGGCGATGAGGATGGGGTGGGGCGGGAGGAGCTGCAGGTGCTGCTGGCGCAGGCGAGGGAGCAGGGCCTCGGCCAGAGGCAGATGATTCTGCGGCAGCTGCTGCTGCAGCAGCAACGGGACTTCCAGCAGCAAGAGCAGCAGACGAAGCCATACCAGCTGCAGCAACAGCAGCAGCAGCAGCAGCAGCAACAGCAGCAGCAGCAGCAGCAGCAGCAGCAGCAGCAACAGCGAGTGCAAGAGACACGGGTAGCAGGGTTGGCGTGTGGTGGTGGTGAGAGAAACGCTCGGGAGAGCTCAGCCACAGATACACTCATGGACAGCCACATTCCCCACGGTGGTAATACCAGCAGCACCAGCAGCAACAACAGCAACGACAAATCAGATGTCGCCAGGTGGCAGTCGCTGGTGGCCCTGACCCAGGGCGCAGGGTCCATAGTCCCCGTGTCATCGTCTAAGAAGGCCCGCTGGGGGTCCAATCAGAGCACATCTGAAACCTCTACTGGTGCGGCCGCTGGTGCTGGTGGTGGTGCCACTACTGGTGCTGGGTTTGGTGCCACTACCGCAGCAGCATCTTCGGGGCTTGCGTACTCCCTGCGTCCGTCCCTCCCTCCTGCTGTCTCTGCTGCTTCTATGGCCGCCGCTGCAGCTGCAGCAGCAGGGGGTAGGGGAGTAGGTACCTGTCTTGCTGCTGCTGCTGGCGGTGGTGCTGGTAGTGGTGGCGGTTTAAGTGGTATATCGAAGCATGGCCTACCTTCGCTCTCCCACATGCACCCGCCTCTCTCTCGCTCCATGTCCGAGCCCCTCCCACTGCATCTCTCCTCCTCCTCCGCCACCTCCCCTCTCCCCCACCCGTATTCCTCCCTCACCCCTCCCTCGTCCTGCTCTTCCATACCCCTCCCACCAGCACACTCACCAATCACACCGGGAACGTCAACGGCAGGATCAGCAGCATCAGCCGCTGCTGGTCCCAGATCTTTCAATACCACTGCTGCTGCTGCTGCAGCGGGATCAATGCCGCCCCTCTCCATATCCCCCACGGGCCTCCCCACCCCCTCGCCTGGTCATCAGGGAGTGGGGGGGAGTCAGGGGCGGCAGCAGCAGGCAGCAGGGCACAAGGGAGCGGGCGAGAGTCTGGACTGGTACGAAATGAACGTGGCGGTTCAACTGGCGGCTGCTGCTGCTGCTGCTGCTGCTGCTGGAGGGGGGAAAAGAGCAACAGGGGGGCTCGGCAGCAGCCGCAGTGGTGGCGGTGGCAGCAGGGAGGGCGTAGCTGGCATTGCCAGCTCAACATTGGCATTGTTACAGCAGCAGCAGCGGCAGCAGCAGCAGCAGCAGCAGCAACAGCAGCAACAACAGCAGCAGCAGCAGGAACAGCAGCAGCAGCAGCAGCAGCAGCAGCAGGCACAGCAGGTATCGTTGGGTTGTGCAGGTGCGGGCATGGCAGGGAGCAGTGACAGTGCGGCACACTCCTTGGCCCTTCAGCAGCATTTAGAGGCAAAGATCCGAGCGCGGTTGGCAGCAGCGTCAGCAGCCGCTACGCCAGCAGATCCCACTTGTGGGCGGGCCATGGCAGGGGATGGGCGGAAGGGGAAGGGATATGAGGAGGCAGATACAGGAGCGGCAGGGCATTCACAGCTAGGGTTTGCTCTCATGCACCAGCTGATGCAGCAGCAGCAGCAGGATGGGCAGACGGAGAGGCAGCTTGTGATGCAGGGGTTAGAGAGCAGCAGAGTGAGCATGGGTGGTGGTGAGGGATCGGGTATGCATGTGGAGACTGGGGCAGCACGTGCTGACCTTCAGAGAATGCTGTTGCAGCATATGGAGCACCGACAGCAGCAGCAGCAGCAACAAAAACAGGAACAGCAGCAACAGCAGCAGCAGCGGCAACTGCAGCAACAGCGGCAGCATGCTGCTGCTGCTGCGGCTGCTGCTGCTGCTGGTGCAAGTGACGCTCCTCCAGCCGCTGCATTTGCAGCAGCAGCAGCCATTGCAGGGAGCACCAGTGCAGCTGCCACTGCTGCAGCTGCAGGGATCAGTGGCTTTGGCAGGGCGGGCTCCGCATCAGCACTGGCAGGTGCAGGAGAGAGGGGAGGAGGAGGGAGAGTGGGAGTGGGAGTGTCGGAGTCGCTGTCTCAGTTGTTAGAGGCGAATCATCATGCTGTTGGTGGTGGGACTCATGCACACCTCTCTGCTGCTACTCTTGCTGCTGTTGCTTCTCAGCTTGCAGCAGAGCAGCAGGGAGAGGGCATGCATATAGGAGGCATGGCCAATCCTGCTGTAGAGGTGAGTCTGTTTCCGGAAACTGGGCTGAGCCCTTCAAGCACCCAATTTATCTTTGTCTCATTGAAGCATGCATCCAATTCCACTCATGTTCCCCTGGAACTCTATCCCTCGACTTTTCTTCAGGATCAAATTGTGCAGTTCACGTCCCACCTACCTTTGCAGGTCTTGCAGCACCAGCAGCAACAGCAGCAGCGGCAGCACCATCAGCAGCAACAGCACTTGCATCTGCGGCAGCAGTTGCTCCAACTTAGCCAACAGCAGAAGCAGCAGCAGCAGCAGCAACTGCTGCAGCAAAGCCAGCAGATTCAACATCAAAAGTTGCTTGAACAGCAGCAGCAACAAATGCACCAGTTTCGTCAGCACAAACTGGCACAGCTCCAGCAGCAACAACAGCTGCAGCAGCAACAGCCACCCCAGCAGGCTTCTGCTGTGGCCATGACTCAGCGTCTCTTGGCCAGCCTTGACCCGCAGTCTGCTGGGGCTACTGGGGGTGCGGGTGAGCAAGGCATGTGGGTGGATACCTCAACTTTTTAGTCCCTAGTTCTGTTTGTGTTACCTTGCGTCTATTCTCTTCCCCTTCCTGTGCAGTATGCACGTGGATACCTGACTGGTGGACTTGTAGAATCTGTTGCCTTGTGTGTTTGATCTGAATGACATGCTGCGAATGCAGCAGTTGGAAGATGCACTCAGAATTGTATGTATGCTTTGTGTCATCATACCTATTGAGGTCCATGGTATGGGGGATAAAACCTAGACACATCTAAACCCTACTGCCCATGGGTCAATAATCATAATATGGAATCTACCAGTGCATTACCTACTCCCTAACTGTCTTCACCCTTCCATGGTCGGCGAAGTTCCTTCTGTAGAGATATAATGACTGAAGCAGACCCCATGTAGCCATGACTAGAGCAACAGCCATGAGAGTCCCTTGGCTTGCTTTTATGAGCTGCAGCACAGATGGAAGGAAGCCAGCAAGCCCTACGGCTGCAGAGTATACTGCTTGCACAAAGCCGAAGAGCTCAGCTCTAGATGCTCCAGATAGCATGTAGGAGTTGTAGATTGACATGTAGTAGGATAGCACTGTGACGGTTGAAATCGTCACTGCAGCCACCATCTCCGGCATTGGGATGAATTGAAGTCCACAGGCAATCATGAAGACGATGCTCATGCCCGGAAATATCTTGCCGTAGTAATGGGAAGGATGGAGCTTCATGATGAATGTAAAATACGCCACTCCCCCCACCAAGTAGAGCAGCTGCAAAATCAATCCTTGCAAAATAATGAAGTCGACAGCACCACCACATAGCCCATGCTTGGTGGTAGATAATGCAGCTCTTGTCAATGTAATCGGACCATCGAACATGTACTCAAAGCAGCTGGACACCATGGAGAGGCAGACGCAGTTTGTAAGTATTACACTTCCCCAAAAGTACCGCACTCGATAGGTGAAGAACTCCAGCAGACTATTTCCATAGGTCCTGCCGTTTAATTTTTCCTTCGAGCCGCCTTTTGTATCCGAATCATGAACACTCTCTTTCGTCGCTTGATTGCAGGCCTGCTCCGCGGAAAATATATAGGGTGATCCACCATACGAAACGCTCAAAGAAATGCTGGGAAGAAGCATTAAGGAACATGTTAAGAGAACTCCGATGTCCATCAGCCACCGAACGGTTAAGTAATCCCCCTTCCACATAGCAGAGAGTAGCGCCAGCGCCATGAGAGCGATCTCGTAGACCTCAGAAGCTAAATCCCCCAGTGTACCAATCTTGTTCATGGCTTCTTCATGCAACAAGACGTTGGATCCAAACTTGAGTTGGACAAACATCTGCGTGGGTAACGTAGCTGTGAAGCACACTGATTGCATCAAAGAAGAGAGAAGCAACGACTCAATACTCACCTTAATAGCTTTCCAACTTGAGCTCGATAGCTGCATCTGTACAATGCACCTCAGGGAGTATACCACGATGAGCTGGGCATCGCTGAAAGCAATAGTGAGTAAGGAGACGTAGACGAGGAGCAGCGCGGAGGAACACAGGATCATGACATATATGATGTGGTTCTGGAGGTGGTCGGAAATGAATCCTGTCAAGGGCGACCACAAGAGATATGCCACCGTGTAGACCAGATATAATGCTCCGTAGGATGCTTCAAAATCGCAACCGACACGTTGGATGAGGAGAAAGTAAATGAAGTATTTATCTACATCAACGAGGATGTCCGCACAGCCCATCACAAGGGAAAATCTCCAGTACTCCCTCCATGTAACATCTCCCGCCAAGCAGAGCTCGTCCATCTCTCCAAGTGATGATCTGGACCTACAGTCTCCATCAGAAGAGGACTCGGCCAGCAAAAGGCTAGATTCTGAATCTAAGCTGGCAGTCCGCGAGCCATGCTCTATGCATGGCTCCTTATCCGATCCCTCAGCTTCCATTGTAAGAAAATGTGGTGCAGCTGCAGTGAAAGATATCCAAAGCTTCGAACTTGTCACAAGGTGTGTCCGTCTGGAGAAGCAACTTGGACGCTGCTCAGCAATCCAGGAGCCATGAAGATTGGTGAGGGGTCATGGCGTGATACATCATCTTCAGATCAAGAGAGGTTGGAAACTTGAATTCGCAAAAGTAACCCTGTTGAGCGCACTCGATCGTTTTGAAAATAGCTAAACCGTCTGACACCGCATTCAAAGTTTGAAAACACCCTCTTGATCTGGATATACCACAGCTTGAGGGTGATTCTCCAAGTGACTGACGTCATCCATTCGACATCCTTTCATGACAAAGCGCCGCGCAGTGCGCACTCGAGGAAGCAGAACGCGTCTGCGCTTTTCAGGGTGTCGCTAATGGCAGCACTGACGGAACATAGTGGTTGATGGAAGTTAAAAATTGTCAATAGTGCAAACTCAACTAACAAAGGTGGTTTTTGGTTATTATGCGAATAATATGTATCCAGCATAATTATATATTACCATTATGTTACGGGAATCAGGAAAAGTTATCTAAGAAGAATACAATTGCAACGAAAAATGTATCTACACATACGAGCAGGGCTTCCGATTCGATTTTGAGGGGCTGTTGGCTCAGGGTGCCCCCAGAAGGAGCCCCCGTTTTTCAGGGTCGGGTTATGGAAGTTGCAATTTTTTTCAGGGTAAAATTTTTCGAAGGCTGAAAAATCAGGACTGAAAATCTTCAGAGCTGAAATGATAGGTTGAACCTTGATGATTATTGTCTTAAAGAAGCTTAGGACACTAACTAAACTTAGGAACCTAGCTTAGCTAGGATGCAAGGAATGACGCCATGGAATGGCGTGAGGAAGGTAGATCTAGGAGTAGACAAGTAATGTCGAGAAAGAAGAGTGTCGATTAGGAAGAGAGAGGAGTACAAGGAGGGGTTTGTACCCTCTACAGAAAGGTTCAGTAACAACCTACCAAGCCTATATTAAATTATAACTTGGTAGTGTCAAGTCCCCCGCACACCCCCACACCCACACCCACACCCACACCCCCTAACCCCGCACACTCTCAAGCTCGTGCTTAGCCGGGTATCTGACCCTCGTGCTAAGCGTTGACACCCCCGGGCGAGAGGCAGCCGACGGCGTCTGGGCGGCTCAGCGACAAGCAGCGGCGGAGCTCTGGCTCAAGGCGGCTGTGTCGCTGACGGCAGGCGGCGACAGCCGCGGCTGAGGGCTCTCGGTGGTGTGGCAACGTCCGGGCAGAAGACAGCAGCTGCGACAGGAGGAAGGGAAGACGCAGGGGGAAGGGAGAATGGGGGGGGGGGAGGGGGGCGAGGCGAGTCTTCAGCGACGCGCCATGAGTGGCACGACGCTTACTGGCAGGAGGGCGGGCAGGTGGCGGTTACGACGGCGTGCTGCCCGCTGCCGCCCATCGACGCTGCCACGGCAGCATGACGACGCCGCCAGAGCGCGGCGTCGATGCTATGGCGGCACGCTGACGCTGCAACGGCAGCAAGGTGACGCTGCCACGGCAAAGCGTCGACGCCACCACGGCAGGGCGTCAAGGATGCGACGGCCGCACGACGAAGCCGCCATGACAGGCCGGCATGGCCGCCACGGCTGGAAGGCAGTGACGAGAGAACTACGCGGCGGAAGCGACGGCACGACAGCGCGACGCCATGGCTGGACGTCGACAGCGCCGCCACGGCTTGACGTAGACGCCGCGACAGCGCGACGCCACGGCTTGACGTAGACTCCGCGGCAGCGCGACGCCACGGCAGCGCGTCGCGACGGCCGTGGCAGCATGACGCGGCCAGCGGCACGACGACGCGGCCACAGCAGCTGGACGCGGCCGCCATGGCAGTGAGAGAGAGAGAGAGAGAGTAGGCGGTCCAGCAGGGAGGACCTCCTGCTCTGATACCATCTTAAAGAAGCTTAGGACACTAACTAAACTTAGGAACCTAGCTTAGCTAGGATGCAAGGAATGACGCCATGGAATGGCGTGAGGAAGGTAGATCTAGGAGTAGGCAAGTAATGTCGAGAAAGAAGAGTGTCGATTAGGAAGAGAGAGGAGTACAAGAAGGGGTTTGTACCCTCTACAGAAAGGTTCAGTAATAACCTACCAAGCCTATATTAAATTATCCCTTATATAATTTTAACATATTGGGCTGAGAAAAACCCTTAGGATCTTTCCAGAGACGAAGTCCCAGTTGAAGAATGAGACTTGAATAGTGCAGCGGAAGTTGAGTAGTTGAACCCTTGTACTAGTATATGAGAACAAGTAATTGATTAAAGTGAACAAGCATGCAGCAATATATAGAAAGTAGAAAACAAGCAGTTGTAGAATACAGTTGAATGGCGGTTATCGAGTCGCACAGCGACTCGATTGTCGCTTCGGTTACCATTCTTGCAGTTGTAACGGTCAGTCGCAACCTCCAGTTGCGACCCTTCAAGTCCTTTCGTGTTCTTTGTCCATCCCCTCGTGTAACCTCCGTTGACTCGCGTACTCGTTATGATCATCCTCGAGTATGGTGTTACACTTCAGAAACGCTTAAGTCCTTGAGATATTTCCAACACTCCCCTTCGTTTCTGGAGTGATGACGTGTTCAGATCCATTAATGTTTGTCTGCCCGGTCAGCAGCATGTAGTAATCGAACTTTGCCTTCGCCAGTTTCTTCGTCAGGTAGTCTGCGGCCATTTCTGTTGTAGGGCAGTAACTGAGTTGAAGTCTCCCCTTTGCGATTTCATCTTTGACCAAAAAAGTACCGCAGGGCAATGTGCTTGGTTCGGTTGGCGAAGCCGTCCTTGTTCGCGATTTTGATCGCAGATTGGTTGTCGCAGAGGAGTGAGAAGACGGGCAGGGTCGCAATCTTTGCTTCCTCGAGCAACTCTCGCAGGTAGAGTCCTTCCTTGGTCGCAGTACAGAGGGCGATATATTCTGCTTCAGCCGAAGATAGTGCGATTAGTTCCTGTTTGCTCGACTGCCAAGAGATAGTGCCGATAGGTTCTAGTCGGTAGATGTAGCCCGTTCTCGATCGTCGATTTTCCCTGTCTCCCGCGTGGTCGGCGTCGACTTATCCGAGTAGTTGTACAGATGGTGTTGTTACTTTGCTGTAGGTAAGTCCGGTCGTCGGCGTAGAGACGAAGTAGAGTAGTGCCCGGTTTAGTTCTTCGAGATCTTCTTGTTCCGGCTGCTTCAGATGCGTCGCCAGCTGGCTTGCGCTGTAGGATAGGTCAGGTCGGCAGGTTACTGCTGCGAATAGTAGGCAGCCGAGCTTCTGCTGATACTCCCGGATTTGCGTCGCAGGGAGTTTTGCGGGGGTGTCGTTGTTGTTCCCGTAGCGGTAGGGAGTCGCGACTGTAGTTGGTGTTAGTCCGAACTTCTTTGCGACAACGCCTGCGTACTTTCCAGCGTATAGGTAGAACGCCGAGTTGTCTTCGACGACATTCAGACCCAGATATTGGGTCACTGTGTCGGACACCGTGAGTGTCAAGTCCCCTTTCAGCTCCCCTTCAAACCAGGTGGCGATGTCGGTAGTGGAACCGATGTAGAGCAAGTCGTCGACGTAAACGATGAGTAGGATATACTCTCTTCCCTTCTTCCCGTTGATGTTCGTTGCGGGTACCAGCTTCCATGTATTTCGGTCTTGCTGAGCTTTCAGTTCCTTTTCCATTGCCTCCTTCCATTTCGCCTTATGTTTCCCCCCAGAGCCTGCGACAGAGTCGTTGGCTCGCGCGGAGATGGCGGCGGCGGGTGCTGGACGGAGACCCATAAGCCGAGGATTCGCAGTCCCGTGGGTGTGTGTCGAGGGGAATTTTCATTCCCGGAATAGGCTGCTTCGTCACCATCTTCTGGATCAGGTAAGAAGTTGGGGCCGATGCGTTCTGAGATATTCGTGTCGACCGGGTGAGGTGTAGCGTAACCTTGGTCAGCGAAGTGGTAGAGGGTGTCGAGGTTGTTGCTATCGAGAGGATTGTCTTCGTCGAGTGGAACAGGTACGGAACAGAAAGGGAGTGGTCCGGCAGCTTCCGAGGCTCCAGGTACGTCTTCTTCTGCTGCGTCAGCTTCGGCAGCACGGTCGGCGAAGGAACGAAGGCCCGCGAGGCCGTCGGTGGGGTCGTGTGTGTTGGCAATGTTGTCCAGGTAATGCTGCAGCGTCAGTCGCTCGTAGAAGATAACATCACGTGATGCCACCGTATTTTTGTCTTGTATGTCGAGGATTTTCCATGCGTGAAAATGTTTGGCGATGCCGAGGTGTAGTCCCCACCGAGCTCGTTGAGTGAAGCGTTCTGCTTGGGCTGTGTGGGGTCTGTACTGTACCATGCAGCCGAAAACTCGAAGTAATTTTGTGCTGCCCCTTTTTCGTGTCCACAGCAGGTGCGGTGATGCGTTGTTGGGAAGCGATGACGATGACAACAGATTGTGCAGGTGGACTGCAAGTGTCATCGCGGCTGGCCACAGTGTGTTGGGCAGTCTCATCCCCAGGAGCAGCTTTTGCATCGTCGTCTGCAAGGTCCGGTTCATGCGTTCTGCGACCCCCTGCTGCTGGTGAGCGTAGGGCAGAAACACCAAGCGTCTGATTCCTCTTTCCGCCAAGTAGGTCCTGAAGCGTTGTGACTGGTATTCCAGTGCGCCGTCTGACTGGAAGCTTTTGAGCTTCGTTCCTGATTCTCGTTCAGCGATGGGAAGCCACGTCTTGAAGGCTTCGAAGGCTTGGTATCTCGTTTTGAGGTTGTAGTGCAAGACATTTCTTGTTGCTGCATCGATGAACGTTATGACATAGTTGAAGTCGGCTTCAGTGTCGTCTCGAGGCATGTTTAAGATGTCGCTGTAAACCTTTTCCATCCGTGCATATGCAGGTGCACTTGGATTGTGATGGGATGGGAAAGGTTGATGGGGAAGATCTGCTTCGGGGCACGTGAAGCACCGTGCGCGAGGTCTTCGAAGTTCTTGGCCTTTCGTTCTAACACCTCGGCTTGGATGGTTTGGAGTATCGTGCTGTTTGCAGGATGCCCAAGGCGTTGGTGCCAGATGTCGTCGGAAGCGCGATGGCCGGGCGAGCGTTGGTACATGTCGGTGTTGGA